ATTTATTTTAATATTACCCAGAAAATGAAGAGTTTATTTTATATTTTTAAATGAAAAATACTTAAGAACACAGATTAATTTAAAATATAAAATGTGTGCAATGTATTAAAGTGTTTCATATTCATCAGGGTAGGCTCAACCTTCCCCAAGGATCTGCCTCAGGTTTTAACTCTAGGGTGATAGACATTTTTGTTGTAAAAAAGAGAGTTGCATTGTTGTTTTCCATCAATAAGGAACCGCCCCCCTCCTTTTTAATCCAGTTTTGTCATTGGATTTCTCTACACATGATATTTGGTCAAAAATTACCCGACAGATTGGGCTAATATGAGAGATGTACGTGTATGACATGAAAATAGACACGGTTGAATGGTAAAGAAAATTTTCTATAACATCAGAGCATCTTCAAAACACATTTCTGAGAAGTAGAAGAGAAAGTTTGGAAAGAAACATTTGTGAAAAGTCACTGAGATACAATATATATGACCAAACACATGAATTCAAACTAAAATTCTAAATATTGAAAATGGATTTTACTTGTAACATTACATACTTGCAGTAAATGTTTCTTAAAAACAATATTGCCTACACTTTCAACATGCAATTGAACTCTTATTGTCTATTTTCTCACAAAAATGGCACTTACCTCTCATTTTTGATTGGGTTGTTAAAGATTCATCTTGAAAAACATCTCACAGATTTTAGTTTTTCAACTGCATTGCTTGTTATATTTCTTTAAGGAAGGTAACTTTTCCTTTGGATTTGTTGTTTCACCATCAACATTCCCAGATATTCAAAAAAGTTAATCATTTCTAAAATTTTCGTTTTAAAATTATCAGTAACATTATCAGCAAATTTTGAAGTCATCATGGGTACATCTTTTGTCAGCAGTAGTTGAAGAGAAATATATCTTTATTTTTTCATTGTGGAATCATTGTAACATTTCTCCTGAGTAACATTTGACCCAATTTATAGGAGAAGAAAAAGTCATATTATGGCCTTTCAATAGGACAAATCCATTACTGCACACGTACTTTGTATTCCTCTTTTCCAGGTTTCCCTGGATAATGCTCAATATTCCACTCATAAGATAGGATATCTTTGAATACATACATACATATATATATATATATATATATATATATATATATATATATATATATATATATATATATATATATATATATATATATATATACACATATACACAAACACAAATGGATGCAGGTATAATTAAAAACGGTAAAATCTGAGACAGTGTGACAGATCTCCTTGAAAATTGGCACATCCACGTGATTTTTCACCGAAGTTTATGTACTGTAAATCGGGCTGTAACTAATAAATGTGATTACAGAACTTAATTGAGCTCCATTTTAATTCCGTTTTCATTCAAACTGTGATCCAAACGAACATCATTATTGCGTTGCCGATGACGCACCCACACTGGTCGACTTGCCCGGGGAAACCCACTTGGTCGACTTGCGTGATCCCCACTCGGTCGACTTGCGTGGATCACCCACTTGGTCGCCTTGCGTGATTCCTCCACTTGGTCCACTTGCGTGCATCCTCCACTTGATCGACTTTCGTGCATCCTCCACTTGGTCGACTTGCGTGCATCCTCCACCTGGTCGACTTGCGCGGATACCCCACCTTGTCGACGTGCGTGGATCCCCCACTTGGTAGACCTGCGTGGATCCCCCACTTGGTCGACATGCGTAGATCCCCCACTTGGTCGACATGCGTGCATCCTCCACTTGGTAAACTTGCGAGGATCCCCAACTTCGTCGAATTAAGCGCATCCTCCACTTGGTCGACTTGCGTGCATCCTCCACTTCATCGACTTGCGTGAATCCTCCACTTCATCGACTTGCGTGGATCCTCCACTTCATCGACTTGCGTGGATCCTCCACTTGATCGACTTGCGTGGATCTTCCACTTGATCGACTTGCGTGGATCCTCCACTTGGTCGACTTGCGTGCATTCTCCACTTGGTCGACGTGCGTGGATACCTCACTTGGTCGACTAGCGTGCATCCTCCACGTGGTCGACTTGCGTGTATCCTCCACTTGGTCGACTTGCGCGCATCCTCCACTTGGTCGACTTGCGCGCATCCTCCACTTGGTCGACTTGCGTGCATCCTTGTCTTGGTCAACGTGCGTGGACCCCCCACTTGGTCAACGTGCGTTGATACCCCACCTGGTCGACGTGCGTGGATCTCCCACTTGGTAGACTTGCGTGGATCCTCCACATGGTCGACTTGCGTGGATCCCCCACTTGGTCGACATGCGTGGATCTCCCACATGGTCGACATGCGTGCATCATCCATGTGGTAAACTAGCGTGGATCCTCTACTTGATGGACTTGCGTGTATCCTCCACATGATCGACATGCGTGCATCCTCCACTTGGTCGACTTGCGTGCATCCTTGTCTTGGTCGACGTGCTTGGATCCCCCACTTGGTCGACGTGCGTTGATACCCCACCTGGTCGACGTGCGTGGATCTCCCACTTGGTAGACTTGCGTGGATCCCCCACTTGGTCGACGTGCGTGGATCCCCCACTTGGTCGACTTGCGCGCATCCTCCACTTGGTCGACTTGCGTGGATCCCCCACTTGGTCGACGTGCGTTGCTCCCCCAC